TAAGGACGCACCCTTCTCCATTTGTAGTGGTTGAGAATAGCAGCGACTGCTTCGGCTAGCGAATTTGTCGTTCTCAGCGATACTCTAGCCAGTGTTGTATAGATGGATTTGTCAGCAAATGCATTCGATGAAGCCATGTAACCAACTATGGGAATATTCCAGAATGTTGCCATTTTCGCCACGGCATCCAATTCTGAATAATTTTATCGATACATATCTTGACTGATTCAGTTGTACTATGAAAAGAGGTGAAATACAGCAACGGTAGAGCCCCTACAGATCAGAGCAATTTGAAATTTTCCTGGGTCCGAAACATAGCATTCGGTATTACTCACGGAATTGAACTTTGATACTAATTCCAATTATTTATTCCAGCCATAGCAAGAAGAATAAAGGTGCCGACTCAAGCTTGGTCAGCTTTATAAATCAATGATGCGGGGAAACAGGCATTTAAACCGCTTTTACAACCCTAGTTGGAAATGGTGTGCGTGGCTCGTTAAATTTACAAGGATTCCGATTTTCACCACCCGCCGATGGGCTTCACGTCGGATCCGACTTGGTGAATCCAACTCCTGCACCATGCAGCGTGTCAAATTGTTCAGCGGGTGATCTGCGTATCGCTAGCAGGAGCTACCCAGGACGCGACGGTTTTCTCCTTTGCTGTCCGCTCATTCCGTGCTTATATTTCTTCTCTTTTATGAGTTTGTTCTCATGCACACTATGCCCTGATGTAAGAAGCTCTTTTCTGCATTGTTAACACAGTCCGTGTATGTGTGTTCCTCGACAACTAATATTTTCCATAACCAGCTACAACTTTTTAAAGCCACGAGTCAGGATTAGGTGACCATAGAAGGCCTTTCCATCACTAATATTTCCAGGAATGCGCTCAGAGGGGTGATGCCACACTCCTGACTCGAGATTGCGCGCCGTCAAGGCCTCTGGCCTACTACTTACAGCGATGGGTTCGTTTCATCAGCTGGTCCCGCCCACCGCGGGATGTGGTGCGTGGCTGGCCTAACGTGTGAGATCAGCTAGGTTGATTGCCGTATCAACCGATGGAACGGCTGGCATATCCGGAAAACTCGTTTGGACGTGGCTCTCCCCCGAGCAAGCCTCCTTCACTGCTAGAAGGGAAGGGGTTTCGATTTCGGTCTTGTCGACGGTTTCTTTGCATTCTTCCACACTGTCGTTCCACCTCCCATCTCTACACTCACAGGTGCCATACTGCACAAACACGA